ATCGTACAATTGCTGGTGATCTGAATGGCCATGTCTATGCGACAGAAGGGGTCTAGAAAGGGTGCACAGGGGTCGAGGATTAAGACGCTGATTGAGAACGGATCCTTAACCCAGCCCATGACCTGGCGATCTACAGCACCTTCTTCGTAAAAAAAGACCCAGAAGATAATGGACATCATTGCAGGGGACAAACGGTAATCGATCATGTAACTGATGAGAAAGTCGTCTTTCGAAACCGTTAAAGGCAGGTGGCACGATGATTTGGTGCTCGGCCTAAAATGCTAGTAGGGCGCTATATAGTGGGGAAATGGCGAAAGAACGGAGTGAAACGGTCAAAATCCTGCGAAGAAAGAGCCTCCGTTCTCAATGTGTTGGTAATCAATTTCCCGTAGGCATCTTGCCAATCACCGCTACCGAAGGTACGGCTGCATATGTGTACTCATATATCCATGCAGCATCACGGCCGCTTCATACCAATCCCTTCGCTTCATAATTTGCTTAGCAAATGAATGAATACGAGCGTCAGGAACGGTCGTCCATTTGTGGGCGGGCGGGCGTGGCGGGCGTTTGGGTCGGTATGTTGTGGCTTGATAGGGCCCTTATAAGGGCACCTCCCTTGGAAAAGGCATTATGCAGCGCCTGCTCAGGGTCGCGGAATTCCGTCCTGCCAGGCGTATCTACTCGTCTTGGGGGATTTATCGTGCCAACTGCCTTTAAAAATATCAAAATACTAATCAATAAGGATATCACGGTACTGCCTAAGGAATAGTTGGGCCCTTAGCATGGCCACTCCTGGCGGACATCACCGTAGGATTCTCGTAAGAAGTGCGCAAAGTGGAGAAGGATAGCCTCGGTAGAAGAATATAGAAATCTGGGCCTCTAGACCTGCAGTCCAGAAGACCTGGACCAACACAGTAGAGGTCATCCTGCGATGGCGCGGGACTAACGCTAGGGAAGTGAAGATGGCGAAGTAGCATCCCTGAGGGCGCAGTGCCAAGTGGCACTGCTAGGCCAAACAAGCCTTCTACTCTTCGGAGACGGTAAATTGGTAGCGGATTTGTTCGGGAGTTTTAGAACACTGACTTGTACATCGGCTGGCCTCTGCAAACCATTCTATAGACCGTATCGCATTCAGAAGCCTTTACGTCTGAATGGAATTCTGAGGTTTCGAACAGTGTATGCCGCATCCCAAAGAAGCTCTGATCTTTGGTGGAGTCCTCATCAGTTTATCATTTCATCTCGCTTCCCTGGTAGATTTTCTAGGCGATCTGATCCATCAGTAAACTTTTGGGTCCGCTCGATCGGCCAACGACTAGCACTGTAAAGAGAGGTCTCCGAACGTTTCGAATGCAGTCGCCAGCTTGGAAGGTCAGCTTCAACGTAATACCACGATTCATGGAGAGTCGTGCATGGCGTGTTCACTTCTCAGAGCAACACCCAACACAATTTTCTCCTTATTTCTCCTTGTGCTCCCATTCCTAATGCTTTTTCTTTTACCCCTGTACTACACGGATCAGACCGTTATTATAAGATCTACTGATTATGAGACAGGACACGCCATCGTGTTGTGATCATTTCCTGAAAATACGACCCCCCCTCCCCATGCTACCTACCACTTTCCTAGATTTTCCCAACTTCCTACCATTTTTCCCGAAAAATTTCCAGTTTTTCAGCCAAGAATTTTCCATCGAGCGGAGGGGGGAGGTCGTCAGGATTTAACTATCATTTTCAACTATCGGAAATAGTAGTTGTATAGATCTTTGGCAGTCCCTCTCCCAACAACGACCAAATACGACCCCCTCCCTCGCGGTCAAATACGACCCCCGTTGTGATCATCACAACGATGGCGTACCCTGCTAAGAGAGCAATACCAGGCTGTTTCTTCCAATCTCTCTTCAGGGAATGGTCAGTGTAAAGCGACGAAAACGCCGTGTTATTAATATCTCTCGAAAATTTCAAGCAGAGTTGACGAACGGGATTCTTAAATTCTTTCCCAAAAAGAGGATGGGAATCGCCATAGAACCTGAGTTCCAAATTGATCTAGCCAAGGTACGGCAACTACACATCGTTCCTTTCTCCCTTGAAACCGAGCTGATTCACGAGAACGTTTCCATCTTCAGGCTACCGTGATGTACGACGAGAAGCGCATTGTCTTGATTCTAAAGGTAAAAATAATTATTCACTTGTTTGTCAAAATTATGTCAAAATCCAATTTTTTTTGGATCCACGCATATTTTATTGGTGATTAACTTGATCGGAGATTCAGAACAGTGCTGATTCAGCAGCAGTTCCCGCCCCATAGCTTTGACTGAGCTCTGCAAAGACGCAAAGTGTTGTGGAAACTCTGGTCCTTCTCTGGTCACGTGAAGCAGGCAGTTTACGGCAGCCTGCGCATGAAAACAGCTGATCCGACCATGATGATTTTCTGGTCAGTTCGACCAGTAGTGCGGGTTTAGGCGGGCGGCGGTCAGCATCTTAGGCCCTGCGACGACGGAAAGCGACGTGAGGAGGGAAGTACCCTTGTAGCGCCTGCTGAGAGGCACGGTATCTTTCTGTACTAGGCATATTCACCCTGTACACCCAGTCACTTTATTGTGCCCAGTGACTTTACCTACATAATCTATGAACTAGTGAATTGTTACATTGTAACGCACCTGCAGGTGCATTACAATAGCTCATATATAAATTCAGGAAACATTATTCCAGGTAGCGAACGAAGCTCACAGCTTAATTCCGCTCGAGGATTCATTAGAGAGGTGGCGGGAGGCAATTCTCAAGCATAGGTTATATAGGCAAGAAGCAGTCAAGTAAATATTCATGGATTTGTAACTATGGTAAAGAAAAGTATGCAACCCGCCGTCTCGATAGGAGCATAGGGCGCCATCCGCCCG